GGTATGACATAATAGTTTATTATAGGGTATGGGAAATCGGGACTGTAGAATTTTGGAGATAGGGATATATCTGAGTGAGATAAACAATGAGGTCAGGCGCTAACGACAACATGGAGAAAACTCATCGATTGTGATGATAATCCGTCTGATCAACCATGCGAAAGCCTCTGCTTCTGCTCCCGCCTCAGTTCAGATGAGATGAGTGCTATTTGATTCTATTCTATTCTATTAAACACATAAACATGCATCATCGTGCCGATCACTACCAGTTATATTTAGTTGGGCGGAAGAATCAATCACATGAGGCTGGGCATAAATACTATTGACTACTGTAAATTATATTCGTCATAAAGAGCCACGATACCCTCGCTTCTTTTTATCTGAAACATGGCTTCTCTGTTGCTTAGCGAGCTCCTTGCGATGATTTTTGACGACTTTGCAGACGATCTCAATACGCTTCATTCCTGCATCTTAGTTAACAAGAATTGGTGTGCGGCAGCCCTTCCAGTTTTGTGGGCGAGACCTTTCACTTTGTTGCGTCAACTGCTTGATCGTATTTTGGTTGACTTCCTTGCGGGAGACGGCCCTTTATTTCGAAAAGAAGACCGGTTTGGTCGGTTCGCAGGCAATCTTATAACCACATTTATTGAATGTTTTACAGACGTTGATTCTCTGGTGAATGCATCACAACTATGCAAAACGCATAGCAAGAAGTTTCCGCTTGATTATATATTATAGCCTTTACTTGAGGGCTATTCATTTTAACGAGATCCAATATTTGGCAAACTGGCACATATACGTATTTCATTCGACTAATATTCAATTCAAAATAATTCGTTTGGCAGCTCAATATTGCCCAAATCTCAAAATTCTTTCTATTATAATTCCTAAGTATCCGGATTTTCATATAAATGAAAAATGGACTCTTTCTCGTTTACGAGATCTAAACTTGTCTTTAAATTTAGACAATAGTGTATTCATCACACTTTCTAAGGCTGCACATAATTTGGAATCAATTTCTGTTGAAAATTCTAGCAGCTGTATCTGGAGTTATTATGACTTCACTGAAAAAGTACCACCCGAGGGATTACAAAAACTCATACTGTCTCAACGTCAACTAAAGAAAATTACTATCAAATGTGTTATGCTCAGTTTGAGTTTACTATTTACAGTCATACCTCATTTGTATCCCCCCCCCTATTGTATCCCAACCTCAGCTATATCCCAGGTTTTCATCTGGACGGATTTCCCTTATTGTAAATCAATAT